ATGTGACGTGGGTACAAATAGCGCTGGTAATTGGATTAAATACTTTATAACAGACTGATACAATGTAACTGTCACCTAGTTCATACAGATTGGGTGTAATAATGGAGGGGGGGGGAGTAGTGGGGTTCAATTTAGTAAGTGGTGAGGAGGTGGTTGGGTTGATAGGTCTCTGGGGGCTGTTGGTTGAACAGGTCTGACAGGCTGGGGATCTGTTTCTGGAGTGGTTACCTCACCCCTTGGGGGTTCTAATAGGGTGGGTGAAGGTCTGGTGAAAGTGCCTTATTACTTTGGGGTCATCTCTGGGGGGGCTGGTGCTCTCTTTTGAGGGGCGAGTGTGAAGGTCTAACTTCTTTCTTTGTTTTTTTTCCCACCAGTTAACAGCCGTATTGTTGGAGGTGAAGATGCAGCTCCAGGAGACTGGCCTTGGCAGGTCAGCATATGGTATAATAATGATCATGCATGTGGGGGCTCCGTGATTGCCAACAAATGGGTCCTGAGTGCAGCACACTGCTTTCCTTTGTAAGTATATGTGCTAAACTTCCTCTAATCAAATGACACTTTATTAAATTCTGTCTATAATTAGTACATATCCAAATTCAGTCTGGAAATCCCTGGCCCTCTGCATCATGTCAGTCTTCTGGCTCTTTAATAGGGTTTCCCAATTAAAAGTGAGATGTACATGTACTGAATTATTGTAAAAGTTCTTTAAAAAAAAAAAATAAATAAATAAATTTATATATATATATATATATATATATATATATATATATATATATATACACTCTATCTCTATCTATCCAGCTCTGATGTTCATGTCCCCATTGATGGTAGTTTCTGCGGTGGACGGGTCATCATGAGCACTCTGACTGGTCTGCAGCCCTATATGCAGCAAACTGCAATGCTGTGTGTTATGACTCCTTTCTATCATGGCCAACATTGGTTTTCAGCAATTTGAGCTACAGTAGCTCTTCTGTGTGATTGGGCCAGACGAACTAGCCTTTGCTCCCCACATGCATCAATGAGCCTTAGGAGTATATGATCCTGACACCGGTTAATAGGTTGTCCTTCCTTGCATTACTTTGGTAGGTAATTACCACTGCATCCCGGTAACACTCCACAAGACTTGGAGATGCGCTGACACAGTTGTTTAGCCATCATTAATTGGCGCTTGTCACTAATCTTTCCTGCTTCCAACCCTTGAAATTCAAGATCTGACTATTTATTTACTGCCTAATATATCCCAATTCTTGACAGTTGCCATTGTAACAATATAATCAATGTTATTCGCTTCACCTGTCAGTGGTTTTAATGTGGGTGTATGTCATGGAAAGAGTGAAGGTAGGCAAAGCAGATAGGAATCTAGTGGCTCCTAGCACAGTATTTGATTCAGTCCATTCATGGCTACTGATTGTATGGTAAGTGTCATTAGCAGTGACAAGGACCCAGGTCTTATGCCCACTCTTCTTCTGGCTTAACAAGTTTATAAGAGATAATTTAATCTTCTCTCTGACTTGCTTTTCGCAGGGACCACTCTTGGTCGGATTACGACGTCAAGGCAGGAGCTTTCCAACTTGGAGTCCCTGAGCAATCCGTGCAGTCTAGTAAGATAGACAATGTCAAGATCCAACCTCAATACTCGCAGGACTCTAGCTCTTCTGCTGACCTGGCCCTGGTCTCTCTGGTTACAGCATTGACTTTCAACAAATACATCCAGCCTGTTTATCTGCCATCAGCAAACACACAGTTTCCAGTGGGCATGAAATGCAAAGTGACTGGATGGGGCAATATTCGTCAAGGAGGTAGAAACATCTCTGATTTTAAGTCTTTACTATTGCACATGGACTTTTTTTTGTATGTATTAAGGGGAAAATAGTTTTAACATTGGCAAGGTGTAATAAAATTAAAGAGTCAAGTTTGAGCTGGGTATTTGACTATTGGTAAGATGCAATGCAGCTTCATTAACATGCCAATCTACCGTAGGTTCTAGTTATACTGTACCATACAGGGCTTTGCAACCAGTCATAGCATTTACAGAAAATCTATTCTGACCGAATGGAGTCTTGAGCATTCCGTCATAGAATTCATTAAAAATCTGTACCGTATAGGAGGAGGGATGAAGGTGGCTACAATTTTAAGCTCTTGCATTTGTAGAGAAACTAGTATGGCCAGCACAGAAATGTGTTTGCCCAGTCAGAATTATTTTATTTTTTCCAGCACTTGATGATTGTGGATCACTATAAACCCAAAAAATTGAGAGCCAATCACAATGTCGAGTTTATTTCCCACTGTTCAGATCTTTTACAGTAAATGCTTCTGGCTGTTGTAGACCAGTTGTATGACTTCTACTGCAAAGTCAACAAGTGAACTACAACACCCAGAAACCATTGCACATACAGCAGTAGTACTAGAGGCAAAATGGAAACCCTGGAGGTTGGGTGGGCAGAACTAATAGGCAGATTCAGAAAAGCTATTAAAACACAACTCTAATCTTGCTAATATATTGCATCAATTTTGTTTGGGTATTGTTCCCCTCAGAATCTCTCTCAGGTTCAAAAACTCTGCAGGTCGGACAGGTGACACTCATTGGTAGGAATACATGCAATTGTCTATACCACATCAAACCGTCTGCCACCACATTGGGCTCCATTGAACAAGGCATGATATGTGCAGGATCTGCAGCAGGATCAGTGGATGCCTGTCAGGTAGGTCATTCCAGGCTGGAGAATGCATTTAATTTTGAAACAAAGTAAAGACACTCATATTTGAAGTTCACGGCTCTGCAGTTTTTAAAGTGTGCTTTCACTAAACCGGGAAGTGGCTTTGCCAATTAGGTTTCTGCACAATTTTTCTGAATGCTGACACTATTCCATAAATAACTAAATAGCAAGGATTTCTGGGAATAGCAGTTCAGCTCACTCATTTACTGCAGAGAAAAGTAAAAAAAAAAAAAAATGGATATCCCTGTTGTGGTACCTGTATAACATTAGATAAATATTGGGCCGGTGTTGCCTTCATGGCAGAGATCAGCTAATATGCTTCCCTATTGGGAGACTATTGCGCATGCACGGAACAAGCTCAAGCGGCGGGAAACTGAGTCAGTGTGCTTCCATGGGGTACGTTTAGCCCTTCCATGCAAAGCAAACGTTGCCAGGTAACCCAGGAAATTCCTCTAGTTGAATGACAGAAACTAGAGCTGTTAATAGGCAGCAATGTTTTCTATGGGAAAAAAAGCAATGTTTACATGGCCGAGCCTGCACAACATGCTACAGCCACCCAAGCCACTACATTAAAGAAACACTATAGAACTAGCAATGTTTTAAGAGGCAGGTCTAAAAATGCAGACAAGGCACCTAATCCACTTCATTGGCCATTCATGGCCCACCATAACACGGTGGCTAACATGCTGATACCTGAAATATCCTTCTAACACTCCTCCTGCAGGTGTGGAGTACAATGTCTGACTGATCATTATTGACATAGTATTGAGTAGCTGGGGTGCTTCTCTTGGGAAGTGCCTGCTCTGGATCTTTGAGCTGGGGCACAAGGGGACATATCTTATTATATTGAATTTGTAAGTCCGGGTTTCCTACCAAGCGGTTTCTCCCTAGCAGAGCGTGACACTTTTCCGAGTGGACATTGGGAGTAAGAATGTTAATTCAGGGTTTAATTCACACCCGCAGGAGAGTAGCAACTCACCTGCTGAGCCATCAGGAGCAGCAATTAGGGCACCAGCTTTGGGTCCACAACCCAACAAGAATAAAAGAGGTACACTAAGCACCAAAACATGTTTAGTTGCACGAAGCCTATGACAGTCCTGACAAGTCCTTATTTAAAAGTAATTAGATGCCCTTCTTAACATTTTGTAACTATTACCTATACGATAGGAGTTCCATTCCAATCTAGCTTTGAATCGACATTTATTACACTACCCACTTGGAAAGTGTAATAAACATGACAATTTGTTTTTGCAACAGCCTTTCATGTCAGAGAGAAGAAACTTAAATTTTTTTTCTTTTCTTTACTGTTGTCTTATTTCTTTTAGGGGGACTCTGGTGGACCGCTGTCCTGCCCAGCAAATAACAAGTGGTACCAAGTAGGTGTTGTCAGCTGGGGTGATGAATGTGGAGCCCCGAACAGACCTGGTGTCTACATCATGACCAGCACGTATGCCAATTGGATTAAAGGAATAGTGCCAGAAGCACAGATGGAGGATGTCGCTGTGGATTACCCCTCACAGCCAGAGAATGACAGTGGATGTACAGGGGCTGATGGTGTCTTTTACCCAAATGGAGCACCAATCTACCTCGTGACCTTTGCCACGCTCCCACTGTACTGGCTGACTACATATCTGCTCACCAACTGCTAGGACTCTTCCATCGGCTGCTCTTAAAACTCAGCCGCACAGAAAGACATTAAAGCCACAGCGACACTAATGGGTAGCCTTTGACCTAAACCTGGAGCACACTATTCTACCCATGGCTGGCTTGTACAAATTGTTTTCACCATGTTGTCTGATTTTGTAAAATTGCCCCAAATATTTTCCACTCCAGCATCTTTGACACCAATATCTCTCAATCCTAAAGTGCAATGAGAGCCTTGCACTGTTATTACTGTCAGATGGAACCACAGAACTGTTTTTCCTATGGCATTGGTATGTAAAAGAAGCAGAACTGAGACTTACAAATGTGCCTGCAACACATTACCTGACATTAATTTGTTTATGGCATTTGAGGAGAAAGCATGTTCTGTTTTCACGTGCTTTAGAATAAATAAACAACTAGCCCCGGTAATCAGAACATTCATCTAGAGTGTTATCGCAGGAAGGTGTACTTGTATATCTAATAAAAAGAAAGCGTCTTCTGCTTTAAAGATAGCTTAAACATTCACGACAGAACATATGAAAATCAACATGTGTCGTTTTCTAAATCATTAAATAACGTTCAATGGACTTGTGTTCCGTTTAAATAAAAAAATATTTTATTATGTAAGAAACATTTCTACACCTTGTAAACACTAATAAAAGGTTTATTAACCTAAGTGTTCAAACTGTGTCCTTCCAATACCAGATTGACCAGTGCAGGACCTGAGCTTATGCAGAAACATATCGCCCCATGCTGGGAGGTGTGAGCTACAACAATAGGATACAGTGCGAAAGGAGTTAAAACATAGCATTCTCTAACACAGTGTGACACTGGACTGCTGCCGAGGTAGACGAGCCTTATAGTATGGCCACTGCACTACCCACCCAACTCATAACTTCTGTGTTTGATATCCGGAAGACTATCAGCTGACACCATTCACTCTTCAGCCTCTAGTGGGCTAACTCAAAACCACTGTGTATTCATTTCTTGGATACTTTTAACAGTTTGTGTTTAGGGGGAGCCCATTTCAGGTTCAGAGAATCCACTGTGGAAGAAAAAGAAAGAAAGGGAAATTGGCTTGGTTAAGTTACCGTAGTCTTAAAAGAAAAAGACCTTGCACTCTGAACTCTCCTGGCGTGTACTTTACTGTTTGAGTTTGTAATAACCTTTCAGCGGAACAGAGAATTTATGTACTGTCAGTATGCTTACAGCTTTCTCTATATCTAATTTAAAACTACCCAGTTACAATAACTAGCCTTCATTTCTCCCGCTCTGCAGGTTGGGCCTTTATGCATAGAAAACAAGCTTACTTTAACCTTTCTAGATATTCCTACACCTGTAAAAAGAGTTAGGAACAGTATGCATGAACCTCCAGTAATACACACTTGTAAGAATGCAAGCTTTGCCCAATTTTCTGAAATAACTGCCCTTAATCTACACTCTCACCGGTGATAGGGGGCTTCTTGTACTGTGCACTCTTTAGATGTTCCTCCACCAGTTTGGGGGTTACACAGATCACATGTTGTCCTTTCCAATACTTCACCATGTTGAGAGACTGCAGCGTGCCAATGATGTCATTCTGAGTGATACTGGTCATCTGGCTGAGAAGGAAACCAAGAAACAGATTCAGAAGTTGCGCAGAAACTACTAAAAATACAAGACAAGTGAGCTAACCCCATCATCACTCACCTAAGGTCTTTGATGGAAAGCGTGCCTCGGAAGTCTCTCAATATTTCCAGCAGTACCCAAGACCAGTAGCTGCGGTAGCTCAACTTGCCCAAGTCAGAAAGAGGTTTCTCTGGGGAGCCCACAGTATTCTCGAGCTTGGAGAGTTCGTAACCTGCATGCAGGAGATGGTGTAATACTTAGTAAGCCTTGTGTGGGCACCACAGGTGATTGGGGTTAAAGGGGTGGGTAGCCTCACTTACTGAAAGCTATGAGGAACTTGCCATAGCCACGTCGCTGGTATGGAGGAAGAGTAAGGATGCAAGCCACGTTGTTTCCATCTGGAGATTCCTTCTCCTACAACAAGGAAGAGAAATACAAATATTGTTCAAGGCAACCAGCAAACTCAACACAGAAATGTCAAGAAGGTTTGCAACAATCTACACGTACAGAGCCTGCACCTGGTACAAAAAATAAACCTGGACCTTCTTCACTCTGACTTTAAAATCTACGCACCTTGGAGAAATATCCTACAATATGAGCTCCTTGCCGATCAACCTCTGTCAGGATGTAAAATACAAAAGGTTCCACATCAAAATACAGTGTTTTATGATCTAGGAACAGCTTGGCCAAGAGACAGAGATTCTGACAATAGATTTTATGGTCTTTTCCATCCACTTCGTATACGGAGATATTACTCTTTCTGTAGATTTCCTTTCCTGGAGGCTGTCGCCACTGACAAAGTCCCTGCACAAAGAACAGAGGAAAATTAGAAAGAAAACCACTACACATGGCTCAGCTACAAAAAAAGGGCCCAACAGTCCACTCCCTAGAGGCTGTTGGACACAACAAGCAATGTGATCAGAACTCACCAAGTGATAGCGATAACTCTTCTCAAACTTCATGTACTTCAGACAGTACTCGCACACCCAAAGTTTAGGCTGTTTCCCATAATCCTCTGGGAATGGGGAGAAGTACCATGCATCAATCTCATAGTTCCCAATGTGAATTTTGTCCACATATTTGACCTTTGTAATCTGGGGTTTAAGCAAGAACAAGGATATCGGCAAATAAAACACGGGTTCCAGAAATAAGCTGTGATAAATATTACAGAAAGAGTTGGAGATAAGTCAGTATGGTGTACTCACAGCCTCATGCTCTTTCTCCAGGGCTGCCGTTGTGGGGTCCATCTCTGCATATGTCTAAAAAATTAGGGAGGGAATGAGAATTAGCATGCATCAGGAAGAGAAATTCACCTCTTTTGGAAAAATCATAGGGTAGGCAGTATATAAGACTGAATATGCACATACATTTTCAGGTGCCAGTGGGAAGATATTACCTTCTGAACGTGATTGATCTCATCGTGTTTGCGCTTCTGGTTCCGGGTGATTTTGCGCTCTGGTTGCTCAGAGATCTCACTCAGGTACTGATCCGTATTCTTCTGGACAGCATCCTTCACAGTCTTGGTCAGAGCCAAGCGGTTCTTGTCTACCCACTCATCTAGCCGCCGGTTAACTGAGGGAGAATGAAGAAACAGATCAAATGTATGAGATTAGGAATTACAGGCAAAGGACACAATATCCGCATTTTCAGCGACCTGTGGATATTTCTCTGAAGAAATAATGCAGACCCAGGACGTTAATCACCAGCATATTTAGGTATCAGTACCTTAATATTCACCTGCCAATGTTTATGGGAATGCATGCCGAACAATATAGTGCTACCCTGCCCATTTAGGTGTCCATCAAGGAGCACCAACGAAGGAAACTCAAGACTTGTGACACTAAATCCAGCTGAAGGAGCACCCAGCACTTTGGATATCCGCAGCATTTTACGGTTTTTATTGTTTAATAAAGATACGGAAGAAAGGTCTTGGCTGGTGATGAATCTCTCTTCATGGGAAGTGTGGATCCCACGTTCCCCAGGGACCGATCCTTCCTGAGCATTATAGTCGTGAGTGGAACTTCATCCTCTCTCTCCTTGTGAGTTTTAAATATTGAGAGCTTGCACAGTTACTCTAGGTTCTCTCTGTTTTGTGGTTTTCTCTAGTCAATATCGACTGGATCTATCAATATGGTTTACACACGTATTTGAATATTCTAAAATTGCTGTGATCACTCGGAAATATTATCTAAGCACTTTTCATGCACAGAACCACAGCATTTGAACATTGGGTGAGATATATAGCATTTCGGCACATCTCTAGAAGGATGAAGTATAAGATTCCCCCCGCCCCCTTTATTGAATTTTTTACGCATTGTTTTATTATTTAAAAAATTACAAAGAACTGAAAAAGAAGAAAACCGTTTAAATACAATCTATTTGAATCAATACAGGACAGAATTGTGCAGGTTATTCTGGATTACAGGTGTACGGATAGTTGGAGACTTAATGCCCTGATCCCCATGCCATTGATTTAGTCTTTGGGTTTATCTTGATCCACACCCAGCTAACACGTAAAAACAGAGCATTTGGCTTGGCACAGATTTCGTGAGGTTACGCCCTCCCTTCTGATATCGCAGTGAGTAGGTCAAACAGGTTATGCTGATGCTGCGCCATCCTTCCGCCCCCCCCAAAAGCTTAAAAGAAAGCCAGCAAAACAGGAAAACAAGTGCTGACTAACCCGACATGGACTGTTCTATGATATAAACCTGCCTTCTAAAGGTTACAACACTGTAAATAATACAAATGAACTTACAGCCCACATAATGCACATAAAACTCTTCTCGTCCTTCTTGTTCATTAAGTCGTGACTGGATCACCTCCGCAGAATCTGTCCCAAGGAAAGAGCAAAATATTTTAAAATGTACCACAGCTGATCCGTTGTGAACAGAATAGTACTATAAGATCCGAACAGTGGGCAATTATCTTAATGCAGCTTTGATTCATCTAAGGGAGCTCACAAAATCACAGGGTATATTCACTAAATGACAAATAGGAACTGAATGCTGCTTGGTTGTCACAATTCAGCGGTTTTAACCCATTCAGCTATTTAAATTAAAAAAATCGTGTTATTTCAAACTGAACTGGAAATCGGACAAATTTCCATATAAAGTGGGAGATTCGGTTGTTCACAAAACAGCCAAACTCCAGAACGGGCTTATTTGGTTGTTCCAATTCCCCTGATACCACGCCAGAAGAAATAGAACTGAAACTCTAAGAATACCCCCCCAAAATCGGACAGAATTAAAGGGCAAGTCCAAGCACGATAATCACTACAGCCCACAGTAGTGGTTATGATGACAGAAATACCCTGGCCGGGTTCCCCAGTAAACTGTTTAAGCAAACCCTCTCCAATTTATCATTTAAAAGTTCAACAAAGCACTCAATTAAATCGAAGGGTCAGGCTTTTTATTTATTTTTTAAAGTGATCTGGACCTGCTGTCTCCCATGCAAAACAAAAACAATATCACACAGGAGAGCTGCACCAAATGATAGACTGAGCAGTAAATACAACATGTTATTAAACATCGCAGCTACAGTAAGTGGAATCTAGTAAATGCTGAGAAATGAGATGGCGACAAATGTTCTGCAGTTATGTACTATTGGATTTATTTGGAAAGTCACGCCTTTAACACAGAGTCACTTGGTGGCTCAGATCAGGCCTAGACACATGTCTTTATACATATAGAGTATTAGAGAGTATCTCACGCCATGTATTGTCTGCTCGCCGACATAGGTAGGTTTCTCCAATCTCAACTGTCACCTCAGGGTCTCTTCCTGATGGAATTCCCATTCCTTCTCTGGACCCCAAATCCTCCTCGTCCTCTTCCTTGATATCTCTTTGATCCACACTATCGTCCTGGGAGCCCATATTGTCCTGCAAGTTTCTGCCCAGTGGAGAGGTCTGATCCTCAAGAGAGGGATCTTCCATGGTTTTCAATCAGAACTAGTCAGGAGACAAAATAAACGCAGGCATTCAACACAAGCCAATGCAAAATCAACAGTACAACTACAAGCACAGATAGAAAGGAATCCATGCTACATGTGATTCAAAATGAGAACGTTTAAAGAACCTACATGCTACCTGTCCCTAGTATTTTATATAAACCCACACAATTTCCAACAGTGTTACACAGTGCCATTTACCGGCAGTTCAGGGAAAGCCTCTGGACAGAGGTGTTTCTATGAAGCTAGATGTAAATGCTGAAGGGGTACCAGGTGCTGGCTTGGCTTAAAATGTAATCAGATTTTTTTGAAATGAGGGATCTGACAAAATACCTTGAATAACTTGCTGTGAGGTTTATTCACTAAATACTGAACTGTAGGTAGTTTAAATTCAAATTGCAAAAAATTTGGAAGTGGGAAGGAATAATGGAAGATTTGGGAAAATTCTCCAACTTGGCAATTCTGATTTCATTTCACATTATGAAACACGTCAGCAGCTTTTTTAGAAACAGAGATAGATGATCTGAACCCCAGCCGTCTTGGACTGGACATCAGTCAGTCAAGTAAAACGGATAAGAAAGAAGGGCAGCATTTTGGTTTTTATAGCTCCACAAAGTCTGTGTTGGACAGAAGTCAGGAGCCAGCTGAGCAGTTTCATGCCGCTGGCCAGAAATTATGCTTTGCATTGATTGGGTAAAACCACCAAACAAACGTAGTGGTGTTAGATCAAAACTGAACTCTTCAGGTGCCATAGACATAAAAATGTATTGATAGTGTAGCTGCCTGTGATGAACAACTAATAAAAAACAGGAATTTGGAAACATCTAGATAACAGTGGATATAGGTTTGAAGAACACAGTAGCTGAAACTAGAAGCTGTGAAACACGTCCCACAAACACAGAGCAGCACAGCCAGGAGAGGGTGCTAGTGACAATGACTGAACATTGCATCATGGGAGACTCGCTCCAAGTAGGTTCATGCGCATATAAACAGCACTCTCACTTGCATACAATAGAAGCATTGTGCTGCACGTTCCTGAAAATTCCAGAACGTGCTTGAAGGAAGCAGGCTGGCTAATAGCAGGTTAGAGTCATGTTTTCAAGTTTATAACAAAGATGGAACAGAAATGAGAGGCGGGTCATCAAATATAGTTACTATTATTTCAGAATTAAAGAACCACTATAGGCAAGCAGAGCACTTCAGCTCAATGAAGTGGTCTCGGTGCCAGGTCCCTCTAGTTTTAACCCTGCAGCTGAAAACATCCATGACAGCCACTAGAGGCGCTTCCGCGATTTACACGGAGTAAACCGCACTTATTTGACTCTGGATGTCCTCACGGACCTTCAGCATCAAAAAAGATCCCCTTAAGAAAGCATTGAGTAATGCTTTCCTATAAACTGGTTTGAATGAGCGCGCCTCTGGCTCATTAAAAAGCGGACGTCGGCGGGGGAGAAGAGGTCACCCGTGTCGAGGAAGCCGGCGCTGGATTAAGTTAAGTGGCTGAAAGGGTTTTAACGCCTAGAGCCTTTAGTGCCAGGAAAACAAACCTGTTTTCCTGGCAATATAGGATCCCTTTAAGAGTACCCATCATTGTGGATCAAGAACTTTTCTAGAGGACTGGGATTCTGAATAAACAAAAGACAAGACCAATAGATGGTTCTATGAAAGCAGATTAAAGGGACATTCCACTGCCCAAATTCAAAAACAGGGGTGGGGGGGTGGGTGTACAACTATTTAGTAGATTTGCCTCCGATGAAAACACGCATGCATTTAATCATGCATGTGTTTTTCATTTGGGGTATATCTGAAACAGTTTGCAAAAACTGCAGATGGTTTTTTCAAGCCCTCCCCTTCTAACCCTCCCTATGCAGCTCAATGGCAGGTGCTGCCTTTTCAGTTTAGATAGGAAGTAACAGGACCGGTTATCTGATTGACAACCAGGTCCTGAAAGAACCAATTTCTATTAAAATATGCCCTTTTTGTAAAATGAAAATAAAGAAAAGAGAACAGACTTTTCACATATAAAAGCACTTCAGCAAGCTAAACTGCTTTGTGTTTACTGAAGGTTGCTGCAACCCTCCCCACCTCGAATAATACTGCAGCAGTGCTAAACATACACATAGGCCAAACAACACAAGTATAGTTTTGCACGGTTTTACATGTAAGGCTAGATCTCCGGGTTTAGAAAAAGGGAGCGCTATATCTTCTAGTGGTTTACATTGCGCCAGAATAACGTGCTGCATGCAAGGCAGATGAACGCAGCAAAATAGTCTGCTACTTCACAATAGTTCATAGACCAGAATTGGTGTCCAGTACCTGCCGAGACGAAGTCTGAAGACATTAACTACCCCAATTAAGTTTGCAACACAGTAACATAATCAATGTCACCAAACCCACAATCAAGCAGACAAACAAATCACACAAGGAAGTGACGGGCTGGGGAGATATAAAGTCAGAAATATACGTTTTACACAAGGATGTACATCCTGTACGAAATGAGTGCATAGAGCAGATTTCTGTTAATGATTGCTATGCATGCCTGTAAAACAGATTAAATCACAGAAGAAGGGAAGTCAGGCTGGTAGGGGTCTGTTCGCTGAAATCCAAACTTTAGCAGCTGAAATCCAAATGACAAAATTTAGAGTAAAATATTGCAGCTGTGAGTGTAGCAATTTTAACAGTTCAGCTATATTAGCCCGGTGTCATTCGGTTTTCAAATGGCGTTTTTAGAGTTTAGTGAATAAGGTACACACCGGCTTCCAAAATGAAGATGGTTTAACAGGACTCTCCAGTGCCAGGAAAACAAACAATTTTTCCTGGCACTGCAGGTCCCCTCTCCCTCCCACCCCAGGTTGCTGAAGGGGTTAAAATCCCTTCAGTGACTTACCTGTATCCAGCGCCGATGTCCCTCTGCGCTGGGTCAGGCTCTGCCTACGCTCCTACCCCGCAGACGTCAGCCGGCGGAGGAGACCTATTGTGCATACCCATAGGAAAGCATTGAATAATAATTTCAGTGCTTTCCTATGGGGATTTCGGCGACGCTGGAGGTCCTCACATAGCGTGAGGATGTCCAGCGTTGTTATAACACACTTTTCGTGTTCTATGAACATGGAGGTGTCCTCAAGTGGCTGTCTGGTAGACAGCCACTAGAGGAGGACTTAACCCTGCAAGGTAAATAATTACACTTGCAGGGTTAAGGGTAGTGGGCTCCAATGGGCAGAAGTGGTCTGGGTGCCTGGAGTGTCCCTTTAAGGAGAGTGTTCGAGCTTTTACTTGCATTCCGGGAATTCAGTAAAAGTAAGAGGTGCCAGGGGAGTTCTCTGTTCTGACTGACTTCCCCAGCTTGTCTACAGTTAAAGTACAGCTGTACCTCATGCGTACACTGCAGGGTTTTGAGAAGTAACCGTGCACCACTAGGCCCAACGCAGCACACCAGCAATGGGTTTTGTTTTTTTTGGAAATACCGGAAGAAACACATACCTTCATTTCATGCCGTTAACACAACCGAATCAAAGGGATTGGCTGCAATGTCGAGCCACTCCACGTTTTCTTATTTCATTTGGGGGCACACGTGTGAAGAAGAGCTACAAGTAAAAGGAGTACAAGGGAAAGATTATATATTTTGAATTAAAGTAACTCAGTGAAATGTAGAGGGAGACAGCTTTAATGCAACCAGGGTTATTCACTAAACTATGAATCTAAAGGCTTACTCCAAGCACCAGCACCACTTCAGTGACTTGAAGTGTTCATGGTGCCTGGAGTTTGTATTTGCAGCATTTTGTTATGAAACTTAATTGGGACATCTTTAACCAGCCCGAAAAAAAGTGAGTTCTGGTCAATGTGAATTCTCTGCATATTTGGCATCTGATGTCAAGAGAACTGCTCAAGCAATTTACAAGCAAAGCAAAGGATTACTACTACTACTACTACTACTAATAAAAAAGAAACGTGATCTTATAGTGTGTGTAACTGCGGAGGGCCTGGCGGAAAGCAACACCAAAAGTTAAGAGAGAAAGGGTTAATAAAGTGTTTGTAAACTCCCACACTGCCACCCCATGGCTAATTAAATGACCAAGGGACCCAATTTAATGTCAGTGTATAATTTACTTATAACTCTTCATATCTTTCTCCCCCAGCACAAAAAGAGGCAGCTGTGCATCAATAAGGATACATGTAAAAATACTGGCAGATCAGGGTACAAACCATATACACACAAAGTCGATCAGAGCACAGGTAACAGTTGATGATACGAGTAACACAATCAGTCAGGATACAGATAATATAGTTTGTATATGAGTGATACATGGTGGTCCAGGATATGAGTAATACAAGGTTAATCAGGGTGCATGAAACGCAATAAGTGTAACAGTCAGGGTACTGGTAATGTGGTAATATTAAAAGTAACAGTCGGTACAGGAAACAGGATAATAGTAAAGGTAACAGTCACGGTACAGGTAACGTGGTTATTGTAAAAGGAACAGTCAGGGTACAGATAATGCAGTAAAAAGGTAAGTCGGTACGGGTAACACAATAATAGTAAAGGTAACAGTCAGGATGCTGGTAATGCAGTTATAGTACAGGTAACCGTCGCGGTGCGGGTAAAGCTGTAACAGTAAAGGAGTCACGTTACAGTTAATACAGAAATAGTAAATCTAACAGTCAGGGTGCGGGTAATGCGGCAACAGTAAATCTAACAGTCAGGGTGCGGGTAATGCGGCAACAGTCAGGGTGCGGGTAATGCGGCAACAGTCAGGGTGCGGGTAATGCGGCAACAGTCAGGGTGCGGGTAATGCGGCAACAGTCAGGGTGCGGGTAATGCGGCAACAGTCAGGGTGCGGGTAATGCGGTAACAGTAATACATTCAGTATTACCCAGTCAGGGTATACTAAAATGTAATCCATACAAATATACATGAAATATAACTCAGTACAGAGGTGCAGTAAATACAATATACTAGTTATATAGAATGTAATCTATTCAGTATAT